TATGTGGTGCTGAGGATTGAACGCGGGCCGCACACATGCCAGGCAAACGCGCTACCGCTTGAGCCACATCCCCAGCCCTGTTTTGTTGTTTTTAATCCCGCATTTTCCTCCCTTGTCATTTAAGACCTTTTGAATGATGGTTATTTAATAGAATGTTAGTTTATCCTGTTAATGTTCTGGTGATTATCTCCTTGTGACTTTATTTCCATTTTTTCCTCCATCTTTTGATATTTCTTATGAATTGGAAGGTGTTTTGTTTTGGTTTTGTTTGTTTGTTTTTTGGTACCAGGGGTAGAACAGTGGCACTTAACCACCAAGCCACATTCCCAACCCTTTTTTGTTAGAGACAGGGTCTCACTGAGTTGCCTAGGGCCTCAGCCTCCTGAACCACTGGGATTACAGACATGTGCCAGCAAGACAGCTAGAAGGTATTCTTGACAATTTTTGTGTTCCTGAGAATTCGTTATGTGAGTATTATTATACATTGGGGGGTTTTCAGAATTCAAAATTTGATATTATTTAATTTTTTAATTATGGAACATGATTTGCATTTATCATTTATGGTTTTATTTGTTTTTGTTTGAGTGAACTTGTAATTACTTCAGTTTTTAGAAAATAACAAAGTTCATGAATAAATAAAAGTTTAGTTGTCATTTTTTTAAAGGCACAGCCTAACAGTCTCCCTTTATAAAACAGTATGTAGTCAGGTTCTTTACTTGGTGAATATGGGATGCAAAAATATTTCCCTTAGATTTTCTTTTGTCAGCATTTATTGTGAGAGTATGTTGCAACAATATTTCTTTGGGCCATTTCCTGCTTTATTCTATTAAATCCATAGCCTGTAGGAATGAAGTTCCTTTTTAGAAAGGATTGCCATCTTTGAAGGGAAAGGGGAACTTTATAAAATTACTGTGTTGCCAAGCATTATTCTACTTGACATTTTTTCTGTGAAGATTCTTACTGTGCTTCCACATAAAATGAAAATACTTCATGAAGCTTATTTTTATCTTTATACTTGACAAGTACACTCTTAAAAAATGCCAAATTATTAAACTTTTGTGAAGGCAGTATAAATAGATTTTAAGGATATAGATCTGAGCCAGACATGGTAGCACATGCTTATAATCTCAGAAGCAGAGGCTGAGGCAGGAGGACTGCAAGTTCAAGGCCAACCTCAGCAACTTAGTGAGACCCTGTCTCAAAATAGAAAATAAAAAGGACTAGGGATGTAACTCACTGCTTAAGTGCCCCTAGGTTCAATCCCTGGTACTAGGGGAAAAAAGAAAAGAAAAAGAATATATAATTATATGAGTTCAGATCTTCCCCCCAGCCCCACCATGTCAGGGGTGGAACCCAGGGCCTCACATGCCAGGCAAACACTCTACCGCTTAGCTGAGCTACATGCACCCCCCCACACCAGTCTTGAGTTTAGACCTTGTACTTTCTCATGTTAGCTCTGTAATCTTTTGCCTTGTTTTTTTTTTTTTTTTTCCCTCTGAAAAAAGAGATAGTATACCTACCTCATAAAGTTTTTGTGAGGATAAAAAGAGTTAATGTGTGAAGTTTTTAGCATGACTGGCATATAAAAATATTCTCTTAGTAAATGATAGCTACCCTACTTTGAATTCACCTTTGTAGCTCTTCTGTTCTTTTTCTTATCCTCTTTCTCCACCCTCCGACCTTCCTCATTTCTTTAGCAAATATTCTTTCTCTTTGTCAGAACACTCATATTCTGAACTTTTTCCTTTATCGCCTTTATTTCAAAGTTCTTTACTCCTTCCTTTGCTAATATGTGCTACTTGTAACTATTTAGCATAAATTTTAGGAGTGAGTCCCCTTTATCTCACCATTCTCCATAGTATGTTTTATAAATAAGGCATTCGTACTTTGTGTACTTTAGAGAATGATAGGGACAGACTTGGATTCAAATTTTAGGAGTCCTTTCCCAGAGGATAATAGGGTTTCAGAAGTGTATCCTATCTATACCAACTTCCTTTTAAACCTTCCCTGTCTTAGTGTAGTTCATTTGGCCTTCTCTTTAAATCCATGATCTAATTTGATTTCTCTTTATCTCTACATAGTTATCTATATCAAATTTCCCACATTATTTTATGTTTTTTTTTTCTTTTTCATATAATATTTTATTATTTTGTTCTGTGCATTGAATCCAGGGATATTCTACCACTGAGCTACATCCTCAAACTCTCCTCCTTTTTTGGGTGGGGGGTGCTGGAGATTGAACTCAGGGGCACTCGACCACTGAGCCACATCCTCAGCCCTGATTTGTTTTTCATTTTTTTTGTTTTTTGGGGGTGGGGGTTACTGGAGATTGAACTCAGGAGCACTGGAGCACTGAGCCACATCCCAGCCCTATCTTTGTGTTTTATTTAGAGACAGGGTCTAAATAAAACAACTTAGTGCCTAGTTGTTGCTGAGGCACCACTGGGATTATAGACATGCGCCACTGCACCTGGTTTTTTATGCTGAGACAGGGTTTTGCTAAGTTGCCCAGACTGTCCATGAACTTGCAATATGCTGCCTCAGCCTTTTGAGTCTCTGGGATTAGAGGCATGTGCAGTGGCTCACGGTTTGATTTCTTAGCGTGAACATTACATAAGTTAGAATGACATTTCAAAGTTAGTAAATCTTTATTCCAAAGGCTTCTGTTTTGTTGTGATCAATTACATTTTACTTAAACTCGAAACAACATGATTTTTGTATTATATCTTTTCATTTAGAAAACTTGACTGTAGACTTGATGTGTTCAGGTGGAATAAGTATGATCCCTAAATCCAACACGAGATGGATTTGAATTATAGCTTCAATCTTTCTTGCAGTCAATACTTAAGATGCTAGACTATGTCTGATCAAGTTTTTCTTTTTTATTATAGGATATTTTCTACATCGAAAATCAAAAGGAATATGAAAATAAAAAAGCTGCTAGGAAAAGGAGGACACAAATATTGGGTAAAAAGATGAAACAAGCCATTAAAAGTTTGAATTTTCAAGAAGAAGATGATACATCACGAGAAACTTTTGCAAGTGACACAAATGAGGCCCTGGCCTCTCTTGATGAGCCACAGGAAGGACATGGTGAAACCAAGTTGGATGCAGAGGAGGCCATTGAGGTTGATCATTCTCACGATTTGGACATCTTTTAAGAACATTTTGGACATTTTGAGGAATAGACCTTTCTAATTAACATTGTAATAACCCATTTTTATTGAGATTGCTTTGTTTTACTTGCACTGATAAACATGAGAATCAGGAGAAAAGAGAACTGTTTCTTGTTTTAAATAAAAATTAATATATGTGGAAAGATGAATACAATTGATAGAAACATTTAAAGATGGCTTATGTCTGACACCATACTTTAYAGTATATTACATAGGATTTAATTTTCTCTGTTGCATGTGCTGATTATTAAAAGTATTTTACTAGTTGATAATTGGTTTTGTCCAGGTCATTGTAACACACCACTCAAAAATCTAATTTCTTTTTCTGATTTGTCTTTGTGGTAAATTATGCTTTGGTTTCAAAACATTCCATTAAAAGATCCAGATGGGACACATATAATTAAGCTGTTAMAAATGCATTCAAATTTGTTTTTTTCTATATTGTAAGAACTCTTAGGCAATTTTAAGGATAGAGACTTAAAAAAGGTTTATATTGAAGGTTCTTCCCTCTTGTTTATGCAGAAGCAAATAAATATCAGAAGCTTTTCAAAGAAGTATTGGTTGTGAATTTGGTGGGTTGTTTGTTGGGTTTTATTTTGTTTCATTCATTTGTTTGTTTTAGGGATTTTTGGTACTCGAGAAGGATACCAGGGATGCTCTATCACTGAGCTACAGCCCCAACCGTTTATTTCTTTATTTTAGAACAGGGTCTTGCTAAGTTGCTAAGGCTGGCCTGGAACTTGTGATCCTCTTGCCTCAGCCTCCCCAGTAGCTGGGATGACAGGCATGCACCGCCGCACCCAACAATGTTTTTTTTTTTAATTGATTTTATTATTTTTTTAAAATACATGACAGTGGAGTGCATTACAATTCTTATTACACATATAGAGCACAGTTTTTCCTATCTTTGTATATAAAGTATGTTCATGCCAATTCATGACCAACATTGTTTTTGACTTAATTAACTTGGTCATATACTAGATACTGAATGTGATCCATACCTGTGTGATATTATGGACATTTTTTAAATTCCCAGTAGTTGCCTACCTAAGACTTTTACCTTATATTATGGAAGTTAGGTATTTAAAATGTCATATCTGCATGAAGTTTCAAATAACTTGTTTTCATTAAAGACAAATAAAAGTAGTTACACTTAAAATGTTCCAAGTCTTAACTAATTTACAAAATATCTTAAGCAAAACTGCTTAACAAGTAGATTTTATTAAGCAAAAATGAATAATWCAGCAGTTATAAACTGTTCTTTACAATGTACTTGAAGTCTTTCAGTACCTAAAAAATAGTCTTTGCAGTTAGATCTTAGAGGGAAGTGGTTATTGGATGTTTTTTATTTATAAACAATGCAAAAATAAAATTAGTTTTATTATTTGGTGCCAGAGTTTGAACCCAGRGCTTTGCACATGCCAACCATGAGCTTTCACCTCTGAGCTACACTTCCAGCTCTGACATTTTTTAATTTCAAATACTCTTCATAAAATTGATATAACCACCACAAGAATGGGATCCTAATTAGAATAACTTATGCTCCACATATGTATAGTATGTCAGAATATACTACTGTCGCATATATACAAAAAACGCAAATAAAAGTAATATGTAAAAAAAAATTGGTATAACTAAGGGAAGAAAAATATTCTAAATATGTAACTGGATATTGTTCCTGAAATCATTCATGAGGGGTGATCCAACACCACTCGCCATCACACATCTTTTATTAGTTTTCGGCAGACACAACATCTTTGTTTGTATGTGATGCTGAGGATCGAACCCAGGCCGCACGCATTCCAGGCGAGCGCGCTACCGCTTGAGCCACATCCCCAGCCCAGAAAAAAGGCTTCCCTGACCGGGAATCGAACCCGGGTCGCGGCGGTGAGAGCGCCGAATCCACCATCACACATCTTGCACATGGCAAGCGCTCCTCCTCTGGGCTACATCCCCAGCACTGAGAGGTGACTTTAAAGATGTAGTATTTTCTGTAGTATATACAGTAAATATTGGTATTTTTTTTCTACTGAAAGTTATAGTTTTTAAAGGGCACTGATGCCTAAGGCTGTTTGTCTTCATGAAAATTTCCCTTATATCCACTGTACCAGTTCATTTRTCAGTATTTGCTTCTTTAACATTTGAAACCACACAGATATCTGATATGGGTAGCATCCTACTGTCATGTAGAAACAAATGCTTCTATTTTTAAGGTTTTTTACATTTATCAATTTTACTCTTCTCTAAACTTTTCTGAAAGAAAGAGTCCAAACTTCCCATATATGTATTCATTTTATACTCCCACAAAACCAGTGTATCTCACTATAATTCTTCCTGTATATTTTTCTTGCTAGTCTGTAGGATTTACACTAATAACATTCTGCCTCTGTCWTAGTAATTGAAGTACTTATCTTCACTTGTGACTTTATTATAGAGTTTTATAGTCTGAAATATTCTGCAATATCACAAGATAAAATGAGTTGGTTGGATTTAAACTTAATTTACACTAAAAGTGTCTTAAGTAATAGGTGATAAAAGAAATGGAACATTTATCAATGATGATGTGCAGTATGTAAGGAGGAAAATTAGCCAAAAGCAAATAGAAAATGTTAATATGACTTATATTTAGCAAGTGTATTTCCAATACTCGTCAAATTTGCAATATATCTGGAAGCATTCCCAGTTTTAAAGTTAACGTCTTTCCCAAGAAGGGAGATTAAAAAAAAAATAAAATTACCACTGAAAGTGGCTCTGAGCTTGGCCCTCTCAGCTGTTTATGTAACTTCTAAAGTTTGCTATGAAATTCACAAGACATTGTTACATCAGTGGCAGTAGTTCCATTAGATTAGGTCAGTGAATTGGGTTCTAGATGAGAATTCTGTCACTGCTGGCAGTGATGGCTTCAGGAAAAGACAGTGATCTGACCTTATCCAATGACTGCTCTGATGAGAATTCATATAATCCTGCTAATAAGTGAGGACTTAAGGGTTCTGAGGGGTTTTGACTGCTGATTTGTTCCACAGTCTGAGAGCTACATAAATGACAATAATTGTTTCTCCTTCACATTGATACAGAAAATTTTATGTTCCAGAGGGAAATATCATACACGTGCAGTGAAAGTCTGATCACATATAAATTTAGAAGCCAAGTTAGTTTCTGGGTCTGGGGATGGGGTGGTATTTGTTTCTGCCACTGGCCAGAGATTTCCTTTAGACAAGAGTAGGCCTGAGGCAAATTATAGTACAACAGTACACTGCCTGCTGTCTTTTTTTTTTTTTTTTTAACTTTTCTTTTTTCTTTTCTTCTCTTTTCTTTTGGTGTGTGTGTGTCTTTTTTTTTTTTTTAAATATTTATTTTTTAGTATTCGGCSGACATAACATCTTTGTTTGTATGTGGTGCTGAGGATCGAACCTGGGCCGCACGCATGCCAGGCGAGCGTGCTACCGCTTGAGCCACATCTCCAGCCCTGCCTGCTGTCTTAAAATCAGGTTATGTGGGGACTGAGGATGTAGCTCAGTGACACAGCATTTGCCTGGCATGTAGGAAGCTCTAGATTCCAGCCCCAGCACTGCCCCAAAAGAAAAAAARGGGGAAAAAAACCCACATCTGGTTATATGGACATTGTGTGCAGACTATAAAGGACTGCATGCAGCTGGAGGTACCCAACCCTGACTTGATCTTGGTGATAATGTGGGGCTTTAAAGAACTGATGGCCTATTAGGTGAGCCTGAATAGCACAGTTCTCTGTCCTGCAGCTTCAAGGGTCCAAACACCATGGACACAATTACCTCAATTCCTTGGAATGATGCCAAAACAACAAACTCACAAGACATTCCTTTTTCTTGCTTTCTTAATCTTCAGGTATGATGAGATTCATTTGCCACGGTTTTCATTAAAGCAAGGGATGATCCCAGCACGTTATGTCATGCCTTGGAAAGAAAATATGGAATTCAGGAATGTGAATCTGAAGGTATTTTCTCAYAAATATTCATCATTTACAAGCTTGTACCATTGAATATAATCTGTAAGATAGATATGACTATACAAAAATGATTTTGATGCGCTTTCACATAAACTTGAAAGTAAACGTTTAGGCAATACAATAATGCAAATACAAACAAAATAGACATACAAAAGGATCTCAGAACCTCCACATGATGCTAACTGGCAGTGTTAAGCCTATCAGAAGCAGGTGCCATTAGTATTAAAGCTACATCAGGGRCTGTGGTTGTGGCTCAGTAGCAGAGCACCTGCCTCACACATGTGAGGCAATGGATTCAATCCTCAGCACCACATAAAAATAAATAAACAAAGATATTGCATCTGTCTATAATATTTTTTTGAAAAAAGCTGTATCATACATGTATAGAACATATAGGTTTAAGTCACACTGAATGTTCAAGTAGAGAGTCATGGGAACAGTTGGTCTAGACTTGAAGATTGCCCATTGGTGGTTTTTTTTGTTTTGTTTTGTTTTGTTTTTGTTTTTTTAAAGACAGAGTGAGAGAGAGAGAATTTTAACATCTATTTTTTAGTTTTTGGTGGACACAACATCTTTGTTTTTATGTGGTGCTGAGGATCGAACCCAGGGCCCCGTGCATGTTAGGCAAATGCTCTAYCACTGAGCCACAATCCCAGCCCCCATTCAGTGTTCTTAATCAGTACTTCTAAAACCTTTTTCAATTTTGGATTGAGCATATTTACTTATGAAATGGTAATTTTTGTTTTTATACTGGGGATTGAACTCAGGAGCACTCAACCACTGAGCCACATCCCCAGCCTATTTTTTATTTGGAGACAGGGTCTTACTGAGTTGCTTAGCATCCCACCATTGCTGAGGCTGGCTTTGAACTTTTCATCCTCCTGCCTCAGCCTCCCCAGCCCTGGGATGACAGGCATTTACCACCATGCCCAACAATAAGTTGGGGTTTTTATTAAGAGAGAATAGAATATATTGTAATAATCAGACTATGAGAGGAAACTTCAAATAAGGATACATAAAAGAAAATGTGTTTGTATAAATAATTTGCAAATTCTAATTGGCTAAATGATTAATGTTGAATAAGAATMTATTTTTCCAAGACAGAGATTTTTATAAACTACAAATATTTATGTTAAATATATTATAAGATATGGTTCAATTGTTTTCTTATTAAATGCACATGAACAATGTTATAAATGGGGCTGCATTTTCCTGGGATGATGATTTTATATGTATTTTTATCTGATAGTTTTGAAAACAAAAATCTGAGGAAATAATGAMTCAAGTATTAAACTTAAATACCAAATTCATATATGTTTATTATTAAGACTTACTATAGTCTTAATATTTGACTATATTTAATGTAATTTAGTGACTTACCAAGGAATTTTTAATGTCCTATATAACTTTAGCCTAGTGACAGTATTAGTAGGACCTGACTTTTTCATTTAATAGAACTACAATGTATAMATTTTATGAATTAAAATTAGTAAGAAAAATTTGTTTTGGATGCATCAAAGCATTTTTTTTTTTTCCTTGTGTTTGTTTGTTGGTTGGTGCTGCAGACTGATCCTAGGGCCTTTTCCCCACTAAGGACATGCACTATATCACTGAGCTACTCTCCTAGCTTGATCTTCTTATTTAGAGCTATAATCCTATATAATTTTTCAGAACTATTTCATTTTTGCAATTTAAAGTATTCCCAACCATTTTAAACACATAATTAGTGACTGGGAACTGGTACATACTACCTTATAGAATTACCATTAAACTTAATTAAATGAAGTGAATTTGGCCATACTGAGTAAATTCTAGGTTATTATTTTCTTTTCCTATTTATTGTCACCATTTTTCCTTAGATGATAATGCACATACAGACACACAAACACACACACTTAACAACTCAGAAGTGATAACACAATGTACCAGAAACAGGGCTGCACTCCAAAGCCAGGCAAGAATGCTATTCTTCAATATTGAGACATTAAAAGCAGATGTATACTTCAGTCAATAACCTATTGCTGTTATTTATCCAGCAACAATTATAACAACAGCATCAAACTTTATATCAATTTAATACCTCGTAATGGGCAAAAGCATTTTCATTCACATAAGTTGCTTTTCTTTTTCCTTTTTTTTTTTTTT